GTGCGGGAGACATTTGACTCTTGTGTTTGTATCTCCTTTTTATGATTGCTGTACCGACCCATGTCTTTTTGGGGAGGGATGAAAAGAGATTTGAAATAAAAATGTTTAGAAATGAAAAAAAAAAAGAACAGCTTGAGCAGCATTTTGTTATTTGTTCATTTGTTTTTTTTTTGTTTGTTTGTTTTTTGAGTCAGGGTTTCTCTGTGTAGCTTTGGAGCCTTTCCTGGCACTCACTCTGTAGACCAGGCTGGCCTTGAACTCACAGAAGTCAGCCTGCTTCTGCCTCCCGAGTGCTGGGATTAAAGATGTGTGCCACCACTGCCCAGCTCTTAACAGTCAACAAACAAAGTGCATTTTATGCTTGTCTATGGCTTTCTCTGCCACTTTCCTAAGTAAATGCCACATTCCCATCCATGGTTACAGGTTACTCAGATTTCCATACAAACAGAAATCAGATAGTAGATTTTCAAGTACAAGATGATCTGAGATGACTTCCGTCCTGGCTCTCAGAGACTCAGTTGAGTTTTGCATGAACGAGACAATTTTGTTTTGTTTGTTTGGTTTTTCATGGAGATCTATTTATAACGTATTAATTTAATGTATAATGTTTTAAAGTACAGACAGTAAGAGGTTGAATTTCTTAGGCAAAAGCTAGACTAGAGGATAAATTTCTATTGTGCTCCCTTTAAGGAAATACATTGTACTCAAACCATGAAACAGGACCCTAAAAAAAATGCCACATAATTCAAATTCTTAAAAAAGAACAAAGAAATGCAAGTTTAGTCTCCCAAATTCAAGCATTGTGCATATCACAGAACATCTTGCTTTGGCAGGAGCTGAAGCACTGGCTGACCTGTGGATCTCTAAGAACCTCATAGAAGGCCAAAGAGCAAGAGAGGGATGGGCGTTCTTAGTCCTCTTATTTTATGCATGTTTGATTAATTGTGATTTTGATAAGACTATAAATGTGACTACATAGATGGCTCTGTGGCTAAGAATGAACATTGATCTCCCAGATGACCTTGCTTGGTTCCCAGCACCGACTTGGGGTGGCCCACCCTTGCCTATAATCACAGATCAAAGATGACCTACCTCCTTTGACTTCTGCAGGTACATATACAACCCCTGCCCATAAAGACTCTTATAATGAAATAACTTTAAAAAGAGAAGAGTATGGTAAATAACCATTCATCTACTTGTACCTATTTTCACATATCTGAACCTCACTGTGTGGCCATAATCACACTGGTTCAGGAGAAAAGCCTTCTCTTTCCTCAGCACTGAAGATTTATGTATTTGACTTTGAAGTCAACAACTGTGTAGCCTTTAAAACCAAATCAAATGCAACATCAAATTACCTTGTATTCATTTAAGCTAGTTTTCAGATTTATGGCAGATGGGCTCAGATCCAGACAGCTAGGGAAAGGACAGTCACTGCAGATGTCCGTGTGCAAGGAGAAGGTAGTAAATACATGGGAATTAATTACTTGTAAGGTTAAGGTCCATTCTTGAAAAGAGTCGGGTGCAATTCATCCTGCAATCAATTTGTAAGCACTTGGAGTGTAAAAAACATGTAGGTAGATTGGGCACGAACAAGTCATGCCGAGCAAAACCCGATTTCCCACTCTGACTGTGACTGATTCTCTAGACTGGAAGAATCTACCGATTATAGTCCACTCTGACCTTTGCATAATTATCAGGGCTTTCTCCCATGGAATGGCCATTGACAAACTTGTAAAACATTCTGTGGGTGGAATAATAATCAGACAGACATTGAACTGACTGAGAAAATGCTCTTGGTGTTAGCTGGTAAATGGTATAAGACCCAATTTGTGGTTGTTTGCAAGACTCCCATGACTTTGATCATGGATCTAAACTATCTTTTCAATACAGGTTTTTATCATGAAATGGAGAACATAACTGATTGAAAATGGAAGCAAAGTTACTGTTATTGTGGGATCTCTAACAGAATTCTAATTAGAACCCAAAGTGACTTTCAATAAACTATAAAGGTGACCTAAATCATTTGCAGATACGTTTCAGGGTCAAGGACACTACAAGAAAACCCATTGAATCAACTAACCCAGACTTACAGACACTGAAGTGCCTACCAGGGTGCCTTTTGGGGACTGACCTAGGTCCTCTGAACATATGTTACAGTTGTGTTACTTGCTTGTCTTGTGGCACACTTTAACAATGGGAGCAGGGTCTATCTCTGACTCTTTTGCATGCTTTTGGAACTCTTTCCTCCTACCAGGTTGCCTGGTCCAGCCCTAACAGGAGAGCCTAATCTTACTGCAACTTGATATGTCATGGCTTCTTGATATTCATGGGAGGCCTGTCCTTCTTTATAGAGAAATGCAGGAAGAGTGGATAGGGAAAGGAAGAAGAGAGGTGGGACAGTGAGGGACTGGGAGGAGAGGAGGGAGGGGAAATTGTGATCGGGATATAACAACAAATGAATGAGTATGCTTCTTGTGATTATGACTATTAACCACATGACCAGCGTCTGTCTCAAGCTACATTTCTTATTGCAAGGGAAATACTACTAACATCAGTGATAACATACTTAATCATGGGGCAAAGGCATGGGTGCATAACCTTGATGTCTCAGTCACAGAAAGACTCCTGGCAGAGAGATCTGCGAGTTTCCCAAGTGCACTCCGAGGAGAGTGCAGTGGATCAACTCAGGACAAAACAGGGCTGCGCACTTTGGTTGTCTTCTATTAGACTATGCTCCACTGACAATTTTCTGCAGATTATCTTCTTAGTAAATGGTAAGACATAGCACACTAGTCCATCTAGTTAGGACCCAAAGTACTTACAGGGTCATTTGCAGTAAAAATCACGTGTAAGACCTTACTCACCTGGGGTGATGAGAAATGAGACACTCTTCTCTTTCCTGATCAAGCAAGGTTTTCAATAAATAGTGAAAACTGACCATTTCTTATTGCCAAGTCTGCTCGCTTTTGAGGGGGTAATAGTAATAGCTGGGAGCACGTTGTACTGAGTGATGGTCTGGTGCTTCCTTGACTATGCACATAATGTAACCTTCAATCTCCCTACCAGTATGATCCTGTCATTTTAATTTTCCAGAGGAGAAAGCTTGAGTAGCTACCATATGCAGGCCTGGATAAATGAAAATTAACAGGGATTATTATCAGGTCATTCATTCTTCCACTGTTATGACATGTCTAATCATGCATAAAGGTTGAACTTGGTGCCCATCTCTTTGACACTTTAGAAGAATACCATGTCCTTTATTAGACTACCAAAAGGGGGGGAAAAGGGGACTATAAGTACTATTTTGTTTTGAACTTTTATCTGATCTTATACATATTTAACCTCGTTTTATAAGAGGAGAAGCCTTAAACTTTAACAATACGACAAAAACTTTCATACTACATTGATGAAACATTATATATGTCTGAAATTCGCCATCGCTTGTTATGAGGTAGTTATGATGGATAATCTAAATGTCAACTGGACACATAAACTAGAGTTGTCTGGAAGGAGGGAACCTCAATAGAGAAAATGCCTCCATCAGATTCAGCTGTAGGGCATTTTCTGAATTAGCTATTGATGGCAGACGGAGGGCCCAGCCCATGGTGGGTAGTCCCATGTCTGGGTTGGTCATCCTGGGTGCTATAAGACAGCAGTCTGAAAAGCTAGCCAGTGAGTAGCACCCCTCCATGGTCTCTGCATCAGCTCCTGCCTCCAGGTTCCTGCTCTGACTTCCTTGGGTGACAGTGAAATCTGACTAAACCCTTTCCTCCTCAACTTGCTTTTTTGTCATGATTTTTCACTGCAGCAATAGAAACCCTAGCTAAGAATACAAATTGTAATATTTCTACCCTGGAGTAGTGTTTTAATAACATCCTGGACCTAAGTGACCTGTCTTAGGAGTATTCTTGCTACAAATTCGCTTTTAGTTTTTCTTTCCTATTTTCCCCTTTTATTAAAAATACATTCCTTTCTCATACCATGTATCTTGATTAAGAGATAACAACACAACATAGTAAGATAAAATATGCTAAGTTAAAGTAAAAACCACTACATCAAAGTTGGACAGAGCAAACCAGCAAAGGAAAAGCACTTCAAGAGCAGGCAAAGGAATCAGAGAAACACTCGTTTACACACTTGGGAGTCCCATAAAAATACTAACCTGAAAGCTGTAATATGTCTTTGCCACAGGGTTTCCTGAGCTCTGAGGGGGGTGATTTGATAGAAGCATCCTATATAGAGCTCTGACTTTCAAGGTTTCTCTATGTAATGTCCAGCCATGGTCTCTGTATATGTTCCCTTCTGAGTCAGGCATGCTCAGACCTTTAATGTCAGCACCTGGGAGGCAGAAGCAGATAGCTGATTTCAAGGTCAGCCTGGGCTTCAGAGTGTTCCAGGACAGCCAAGGCTACACTGGGAAATGCCACTATGAATGCTATAAACAGATAGATGATAGAAGATAGATAGATAGATAGATAGATAGATAGATAATTAAGCCTAGATAGATAGATATTAAACCTATAGATAGATAGATAGATAGATAGATAGATAGATAGATAGATAGATAGATAGATAGATAGGTAGGTAGGTAGGTAGGTAGGTAGGTAGGTAGATAGGTAGGTAGGTAGGTAGATAGATAGATAGATAGATAGATAGATAGATAGATAGATAGACAGACAGACAGACAGACAGACAGGCAGGCAGGCAGGCAGGCAGGCAGGCAGGCAGACAGACAGACAGACAGACAGATAGATAGAATATTAATTGGGCCATATGTGAATGCTTGTTACTGTCGATGAAAGAAGCCTGAAATAATGACAGAACAAATGTGTTGTGCTTTTCATTGAGAAAACTTTCTTAAGTCAGACTTTTTGTCAAGATCCTTCATTCTTATGTAGTACTCATTTTTGACTTATCATTAATACTTTTGACATATTTCTGGAACCATCTTAAGCTAATATCAACAAAGTATTTTTAAACACATGCCTTAACTCCTGGATTTGAATTTCTAGTAGTCATTTATTTCAAATAAAAGTTTCATTTTTTATTTGCATAGTTTTGCTGTTTTTCAGGAGACGGTCTCTCTGTGTTGTGCAGGCTGGTCTTAAACAAGAGCTCTTCCTCTTCATCCTGCAATTATGGTTGCCTATTGCTGCATTTGAGTTTAAAATTTCGAATATTATTAAAATACATATTTATGGATAACAGCACAAATGTTTACACCAACTCCTGGATATCTTCAACATTGTCGGCCTTGGTTTACCTGTTGGACATATGGAGATAGGGTTAGAATACTGGCCAGTAGAGATTCTGTCACTCACACCAAAAATCACCTTCCCCACTACTAGTTTGGAATGGCACACTCTGAGCTCCTCATAAATTGACATATTTGGCACATTGAGCCAGAACCCAACTTGGAAAGACACAAAATCTGCTTTGGTAAATGATCTGTCAACTGACCCATGAACAAAAGCAAGATTGGTTTGCCCTTTGAAATAAACCTATTTGAATGTTATTACCTCTAGAGCACCTTGTGTCTCTAATCTTGTGAAAGGTTAGTAGTGTATCCGTCAGAGTGCTATTAGAGTGTGAGGAGATGTCTGCTCTGGACGATAACTGGATGTGGGTTGGTGGAGCTGGAAAAGCAAGATTTACCATCTGCAAGCCCAAAGTAAAGGGGGGCGGGCATGCAGAGAGTCACATTGACCAGGCCACCTCCCCCGTCGGGGTATTTAAACCAAACATCCAAAACCAGCAGACTGTTACAAAGGAAGCTTTGCAAGGCTTTTAAAGTAATTCCTCACAAGACAGAACTGACTCTCTTAAGTCTTCACACAGATTACACTTTCTTTTTGAAAACCATGCTTATAGATTGTGATTCTTTTTATAACACATAATAAAGAAGGAAGAAAGATGGTATCATGCTTTCCTATACTTTATACGCTGTGCTTAAGTAATAGCAAACAAGCAAAATACCTAAAGGGAATTAAAACTCAAGTACACGGTTTTAATTTTTCAACCGAATTTTCTTTTTCAATGTCTTTTATGTATAATCTACGCAGCTCAGAAACTGAAATTTACAATGAAGTTCTTTCATATATTGAAATTTTACCACTAGATTAAAATCAACTTGTCTCTTCTTAGGATTTAATATGACTTAAGCATAACAAAAAATAAGTTACATGTATTCATTACTGAAGAAGTTCCTGGGAGCTCATTAATCGCCTTTTTATTTTAGTATAATATTTTTATTAATTCTTTCAAGTTTCCTATGTGTATACAATGTATTTTGATCAGATTAATTCTTAAGGAGGATCATTTTTTATATAACTGATTTTATAAGGGAATTAGCCATCATACAAACGTGAATATCATGTTTGTTTGGCTGGTTTTCCCTTGGTGCTGCCCATGGAACCAGGACTTCTTACACGCTAGGCAAGTACTTTATCACAGACCTAGAGTTCCCAAACTCACTTTAATCTTTTCTTTTAAAGACCATGAGCCCACAGCTCTGCACAAACTACAGGCACCCTTACTAATGCTGAGAGTGAGGAAACACTCTTCTCAAGGGAAGAGCACAGCAACTGGTTATCAGGTATCAAATGGTCAGCTCTGAAAACATGCAGGAAAATCTATCACTATAAGGTCGAGCAGCTTGTATGCATGCATTTATGAATGTATATGCACATTCATGTGTGAATGAAGCATGAAAACATGTCATGAATTTGAGAGAGGCCAAGGATGCATATATGGAGGGGTAAGTGGAGGCAGGAAAGAAAGAAAATGATGTAATTGCATTATATTCTCAAAAATAAAAGAAGTAATTTTAAAATTATCATTAAAAAAGTGTAAAACTACTGGCAAAGTGAACGTAGAGGTTTTTTAATACATTTAGTGCAAAGAGAAACCCATTCGCCTGCAGTTGGTTGGCTCGTATAGGGTACCTTATGACTGATTACTATATTCCATATCAGGATCTCTACGGTTAATGTATTCATCGTGCTCACCGATCACCTTTGAATGTGTGCACATTAGTCTGGTCACTTGCTGAGGACAAAATCCAGGAGGACAGAGCAGCCTTTAGACTCTGCTCCCTCTGAGCTTTACCCAGGCTCAAAGTAAGGGAGGTGAATGGAAGGTGTTGGTTTCTCTCTTCTTTTGGTGTCACTGCTGTCAAGTGTTTTGTTGTTGTTTTGTTTTGTTTTATATGTGAACATATTTACCATTAGTCACTGGGTTCATCAAATTTCCACCAAAATCTTGGCAGAGAAAATAAGAAGGGCTCTGGGTTCTTAAACATTAGCATTTAAGATTTTAATTTGGGCTAAGTGTATATTAAAGAAATGTTGGAGTAGTATTGTCTGGAGATGGCATCAGCTGGAGAACCTTTATTTGGGAAGCAGATATAGTAGTGATCTGAAAACTCTCTCAGTTGTCTCTGTGTGGTTTCTTTGGCTTAGACCTCTTTCTAACCTCCCAGTACTTGCAGTTTCAGATGGAGCCAAAAGAATACCTTAAACTTTTAGCTGTGAGTTAAAATGCTTTCATACAATTCTTCATGCACCCTTGTACAGCTCAGCCTTCCCCAGAGGTTTTGGTTTCTATTCTCTGTTTCATGAGCTTAAATGCTGCTGTATGTAGTTAGTCTGGGTCATCCATTCTCCGTCTTCCTTGGCTGTTAATTAGCCCTGGGACTGTCAAGTCCTCTTCTTCATCCTCCAGTGCTTCATGTACCTTTCTTCCCTTGGTCTGGCATTGACCTATGCTCCAATAACCAATGAAAGAGGAGGCTATTTGGGTTGTGTCTGGCTCAGAGGAGAAACGTGAAAATGAGAAGAGGTTAGCAAACCTGTCACAGGCTCTTGGTACAGTGGGGCTTTCATGCTCTCTCTCTCTCTGTCTCTCTCTGTCTCTTTCTTTCTCTGTCGTCTGTCTGTCTCTCTGTCTGACTCTGTCTCTGTGTGTATGTGTGTGTGTGTGTGTGTGTGTGTGTGAGAGAGAGAGAGAGAGAGAGAGAGAGAGAGAGAGAGAGAGAGAATGTTCATCACTTCTCAGCCCAGGAAACCTCCTTCATACATTTATCAAAATTAAAGTTTTGGGGAACAAAGGAGCTGCCCCCACCCCACCTACTTTCAAAATCACACTTCCCTTTTCCTTAATATTCTGCATGCAGAATATTGTGCATATATGCATTCCTAGGTACATAAATATAACCTCTTCAATCAGGGCTGACCATTTGGTATTTGATAACCAACTGGTTTCTTTTATTTTTTTCTTCCTTTTTTTAAAATTTAAGTTAGAAACAAGCTTGTTTCACATGTCAATCCTAGCTCCCTCTCCCTCCCCTCCTCCCCATGCCTCCCCACCATTAAGAACTTATATGACTGTGTCTGTGTCTGTGTCTGTGTCTGTGTCTGTGTCTGTGTCTGTGTCTGTGTCTGTGTCTGTGTCTGCTGGGTCCATGCCACATAGGTGTGAGGAGCTGTGGAGGCCAGAGAGTGTATCAGATCCTTGGGGCTGGAGTTAACAAGCAATTGTGAACTATCTGATGTTGGCATTGGGAAATGAATGCAAGGCACAGCCTGTGTTCTTGACCAATTCTGTAAAAACTGATTGTGAAAGAAAGTAGAAGTTGAAAATTACAGGAGGGAAAAGGTGACAGACGAAGAAACCTTCATTTCCTGTGTCCCTAATCTCAAATCCACATCACTGGGATTGACCTGAACTCTGGGCTTGCTTCTGTATCCCATGGCTCACCCTTGGTGGTTTGGTGGCAGAGTCTTTCTACTCCCAGCAAGAGGAAAGAATTAGGTGTGTGAACCCTGAAATACATGTTATATAATGGATCATTCTACATATAACTGCCATATTCATTTGGAAATTTAATCACTTCTTTCAGTTGAGGAAAACAAACAGGAAATGATTTTAAGTTGACTTTAATGAAGTTACCCTTTAGGCTTGTGAAGGATGAATCCAAAGCTGTGATTAATGCCTTCTTTAAGAGAAAAATGAAGCAGACTCTTGGGCAAGACCTGAAGGGTATTTATGAAACAAAGCTAAAAGTCTATAATGATGCAAATGATCTGTGAATATGTCTCCTGATTTCCTGCGGTGCCTGGGGGGGACAGAAAAGTACTGTCTGTGGCTCAGAACAACTGTTTGCTGTTGGCAGAAACTGTCAGCAAATTTCAAACTTAATTCATGATTGTGGGAATTAAGAGTTTGTCTACAGCACCTTGAGAACACAGAGGCCCTAATCAGTCTTGCTTACTTTAAAGATGTCTTTGGGAAAACTAAGCTACCTATATGTGAGCATTTATCCCTCCAGTGTGGGAAATGTTACTGAATACGGAAAAAGTTTTGCCTTGTGAAATCTGGATTCTAGCCAACAATTTTCTACTTTGTCATGGGAAGCCTGCCCTTGTCAGGTGATCCTGCACTGCTGCTTTAAGGAAAATGATGCATTATACACCAGATTATGAAAAATCTTCTGCTATTAAGTCTTTTCTGCTGGCTTTACATTAATGATAATAAACTAAGGGACTTTGGTGCATGGTATTGACTGTTTCTAATGAACATTGTTGGTTCTAAATTGATGATTTATCATTAAAAATGTCTTCATGGAAAAGTCTAGCCAATTAGATAAATTAGAAAAATATAAAATGTCATAGTTAAGTTGACCTGAATAATTCATTAAGTATGCATTGTTACGATATTAGTTGTGCATTAGCTGATGTCCCTAATAATAAATTAGCATGATATTATACTATTGCTAAATGTTTTATTGAATTTTTGAGAATCAAAATTATTGATTATATTTTTCAGAACTATAATGTCTCCAAAGACGTTTAATATGTAGAAATTCTCAACAGACACTGTAATAAAGATAAAATAAATAATAATGTAGATTAACATAGAGAGCAATTTTGAATTATGTGTTTTATTATTTTAATAACTGATGTGTCTATAATTTTATGAAAATAATTATTAAATTGTAGAGAAAACTGTATTTTGTTTTAGGGCATTTAACAGTTTCACAAGGTGTTGAAGTATAGTTTACATTCCAATTTCACTAATTATCATGATGGGAAGCTTAAAATGTGGAAATCATGCTAGGGTGTGACTGAGTGGCTGTGTGCTTGCTTAATGTTCCAGAGGCCTTGGGTTTGATTTCCATCTCCACCACAAACAAACAAACAAACAAACAAACACAGACATTTTTAGTTGGAAGAATCAAAATAGTTTTTAAAAGCTATCATAAAA